AAAAAAAAAAAAAACGTTCCCCTTTCATATCCAAAATAATTGGCAGAATACATAGGTGGCCCTCTAGATTTGACCATATTTTTCACCTAGACACCTAAACTAAGAATAGTTTCTATGAAACACTTAAAGTAAAGACAAATTGTGTCAATTAGACACATGGTGCTGACATGGCACAGTGTGTATAGCACACAACAGTTGAGGCGCGTGAGATTTTTTTTCCCTATTTCTTTTTCAATTTTTCTTCAATCTCCTTCTTCCTACTTTCAATTGCCATCATCACCTCCACCATAGTTGTTGCTCCATCACTGTGCTACCAACTCTATCGTTCAAATTCAATTCTAGTTACCAAAAAATTATAGTCAGTTTTGTCACTTAATATTCAATCAGAAGACGATAGAACAAATTTACTTCCATTTTCTTCTATTATTCTCCATTCCAACTCCTTCCATACTCTGTCGCATTGCCACCACAGTACCACCGCGAGACCATGACTTCTGGGTCTCCATCTCCACCACCAAAATTATTACAATCTCAAATAACTCGCCACCACCCCACCACCAAAACAAGATCCAACACTTCAACCTAGAACAATACTATTATTAGATTTTTTTTTTTAAAAAAAAGAAGAGCATGAAGAGCGAGATGGGTTCTCTCTGAAAATTTGAGCTTTGTGTTTTTGTTATAAGGTCCTAAAGGTGAAGAATTCCCTTAAGAAAATTTTGATGATTTCAAATAATTTATTGTTATGCTTGAATTTGTATCATTGGTATACATAAATTCTTAATCAAAGTTATTACTGGGAGAAAAGCATAGAGAAGTATAACAATCTACTGAAATTTGGAGAAGAATGGGTCAAAGAGAGAGGGGGTTTTCAATTTTTCATCACCGTTTTCCTTTCCTTTTCGTTTCTTGTTTTTTCCATTTTACTTCTTTTTTCACGAGTTTTACTATTATTGGTTAAGCATGCCAGATCAGGAGCGAGTGATATACACGCATCTTTGTTGTTTGACGCTGCAAATTTTGTGTCTAATTGACACAATTTATCTCCACTTTAAGTGTTTAATAGAAATTATCCTTAGTTTAGGTATCCAGGTGAAAAATATGGCCAAATTTAGGAGGGCAGCTATGTATTCTGCCAAAATAATTCTAACCTATAAAATGTGTAGTTAGTTGCTTAAATTTAATGTGATTGGAAGGAGTTGAAATCTCCTTTGTTTCCTTCCTTTGAATAATGCCACGCCAACTATCCCTTTTTCAAAGTCTCATTTGATTCATGCCACCTACTTTAATGAAGGTAAGAGTCAAAATGTTTCTAAGGAAAAGCTGCCACGTGAGATAATTCTAGCTTTATCCAAAGATTTTTAATTATCTCCCACTAAAATTCATTAATTATCCATTTAATTAAGAATTATTTCAACTTACTTAAAATACTACTTACTTTTAACATATCTCACACACCTTACTATCATGGTCGTGTATTACCTTGTATAGCACTAGTCCATAAATATCGGGTATTATAGCTCGGACCGTATTTTATTCCAAAATGTCAAATTTCGACGAAATTCATTTTCTTTGATTTGCTTACCCTCTCACCTTCACGAATTTACTCATCACTTGCTTGGAGTATCATAATACTTATTATCTCACAATAATCTCATTCTCGAATCTTATGTCAATTAACTTACGACGAAACTTTATCGTACGAAAATGCGGGATGTAACATCTAATTTCTGAGTTTCCATCAATTTATTTATGGCGCACTTTCACGTACGAAAGCATGGCGTGTAATAGGGTGGATGCAGAACTGCTTTTGAAATAGCTGAAGTCCAAGAGGCTTGACATAATCGAGAGTTTTAAGATTGCATTGGTGTAGTCTGTCCATTCAATCTTGCCTGCAAGAGATAACATAGAGCGCGTCAATAAGAAGTGGATTCGTATGGCTAACAATCTGGTATTTTTCATGAAATATCCATGGGGAAAGGAGTGTTTTGAGCTTACAATTGAGTACATAAAGAAGGACATGTTGCCAATGTACAAATCATATGTGAGCAAGAGGAAGGAAAATAATATCTCTGGTAAAAAGTCCAATTCGGCTAGTTATGCCATGTACGGCTTCCCATGTACATTCATGGTAAGTATTAAAAATACATTCTCAAAATTTCTTTGTAGTTGAGTACTATTATTTTACTTATTGCGGGCAGAAATTAATATTTTTTGGTTCATGAAAAAATGTAGGCATGGGCGTACGAAGCAATTCCATTATTTAGTTGTAGTGCCAAGAAATCAAAGGTCGTACCGATGTCGCTGCCAAGGATAATGAGATGGCACAGCAAGAAAGTGACATCAGACCCTGATTGGGATCCCTTTAAGCAGAGAGTTGATCACCCTGGTGTGATAAGATAGGGAGTGCAATAACACTCCACCAGTAGATTAGAATCAACCAAAGTAGGAGATTATCATAGACATCGTGTCTATTATTTTGTATTGCTTGTCTAATAACTTCTATCTATGTTATATTTTAGGAGGTGCACCATTAACTTATTCCTACCCTACGTGAGATAAATATGGACTACATGAAAATTTTGGTACCATATAATGATGAGGTAGCGGATCCTATAATCGACTAGCTAGTGGTTGATTTGGAATGGGTGACAACCATTAAAAAGGCACTTGGTGCAGTGAGCTTAGAGACTAATGATGAAGCTGACAT